GAGAGAGAGAGAGAGACACAGAGAGAGAGAGAGATTGATTCAACTTTTCACACATTAAAGGAAATCTCCGATTGGAAAGTACAATATTAACGTTGATTAATCTTCATCTGGTTATGTTTTTTAGAGTTATGTGGTTTTTTTAAATCTATAATTTACTCCTTCGAGTGTACGATATATAAAGAAAGTGCACTCGCCAATTCGTATCCGCATTCACATCCGCAATCATATCCGTAGCCACATCCGCAGTCATTTCTATGCCCATGAAATTTAAAAAAAAATTGTGCAATTATCAATCAATGAGTTACGGTGATTATATACCAGCTTTGACTTTTGCATCTTCGTTTTTTTATTTTTGTTATTGTTTCGTTTCTGAATTTCATCATAAAAAAAAAAAACAATACAACAATATCTAAATGATATTCTTCGTTTATTAAGTTTCATTTTACGGGACGGAAAAAATTATTGCTTTAATATCGCGTTATGTTATCTGCTAAAATTGTTAAATTTTAATCGAATTTAATATTCGAGTCATCGATGTTTACTTTTCTCTTTTGTATGAAAGAACGGCGGACGAAAATGTCTATATGTATCAAGAACCTATCTTTCCTCCCTTCCTTTCCCCCCACCTTTCGTTCCCTCTATTTTCTCTCTGTTTTCTTCGAAATCATTACGGATACGAATCGAATCAACACGAATCGTAGGATTCGACGCCAAGTTGAAATTGGCTTGTTGCCGAGGTTGATCGCTACACACGAATCTATGGTTAGATTCGGACGTAAATTCGCTCTTATACGTGTGATCGGTAAAACGTTTTTGCCTTGGAAAACGGATATTACATAATCTAACAATTGAATGAATCACTTCGAAAAATAAACGAACAAGAATTTTTGATTGTTGATAAACTTTTTGCGCTCTTTTAGCGGAATACGATTTTGATTCGTTTCGTGATAATGATTAATCAACATTGGTAGAGTCTTAGTTAGCAATGTTGAGAGCATCGGAAAGATTCAAAGAGGATCGGTAAAATTTGGCACGTGGAAAAAGTCTATTTTCGTCATTGGAATGCGACGCGAAAGCGGTCGACCTCTCTGTTTTGACTCTCGGTTTTATAACTAGAACCATCATCACGGTTCATAGTAATCCGTCCATAGCTTGTATTTGTTGATTTTCTTATTCTTGTATACATCGTATCTCGTAAACATTTATCCTTAAATTTCATCGATTGAATTAACTTTTTAATTTAAAAATCTGTTTTAAAGTAACAATGTAAATATCAAATTATTGTTGATTTTAACTAATAATTTCTTTAATCCGTCTATGGAATCTATTTTTAAATCTCTCTTGTTTGTTTGTATTTCTCTCTCTCTCTCTCTCTCTCTTATTTCCTTGTTTCTGAAAAAAAATCCAATTCAAAAATTCAATCGCATTAAAAGTACACGTAGAAGTAGATTTTACGTGAACGATAATTCGTTATCAAAGAAAATCGATGAAGAAGTTTGCAAAGTGAATCGTGTGAATTGACTCAAAAGATAAGAACAAATATACAGCAATGATAAGACGCAAAAACTCTTAAATTCGTGTATGTTTCGTCACGTATGTTTATTCATCGTTGTTTTTTTTTTTTTTTTTTTTTCGTTAAAAAAACAAGTTAGTATTATATATGTCTTTATCAAAGACAGGCTATTTCGATCAAATCGAAATCACCGAAGCTAGAATAATCCATTAAACGGTCCATTGGACCGCAAAGTCAAAGACGATTGTGCACTCTGTCAATCTGCTATCCTTCTCTTCGTTCTTTATCTCTCCTCTTTTCCATCCCCTCCTTTCGCCTCTTTTACTCATGTGTCCTTTGCGTGTTTTCATTTAAATGTTTTTTCACCGCTATAAAAAAAACAATTCTTCTGTTTTTCAAATTTCTGTATAATATTTACTCGTTAATATAAGCCCTCGTTCGGAACAGGTGTGTGTGTGTGTGCGTAAGTAGTTGCTAGAAACACGAAATTCTAGCTTTATTTCGTTTTTTGCTGACAACGTATTGACGAGTGAAAAACGAGAGGCAAAATTTTTTTCTTTTTTACCAAGAAACTTATTATTGTTCCAATGTGATATTACTATTACCCCAAGAAAGATGATTTTTCCAGTGATTTCCTTTTCTGCATGCGTGCGGGAAGAGCATGTAACGAATAAATATTATATACTGATTCGCAATTATAAATCGATCGAAGAATATCATATTCTATTGTATCCTTTCGTTTTAGACTGGCGTGGCCGAGGTGACTTGGGTTATTGCCGATCACTCTGCAGCACCAGGTTCGAAAGAGTTGACGGTAACGAAAGGTCAACAAGTTGAAGTATTAGAAAATGGAAGTAACATTAGCGGTGTGAACACATCCGAGTGGACTCACGTGCGTTTACTAGTTGCTCCAGGACAAGTTGATCCTCCTCCAGAAGGATTAGTTCCTACTAGTGCGCTTAAACAACCCCCTCCAGTTTCTAGTAAAACTTCACCATCTAGGAAAGTTCCAGGACAGCAGCAGCAACAACAACAACAGCAGCAGCAGCAGCAGCAACAACAACAATTACATTATCAACAACAATCGAATAGCCAAGTTCAAACTATCGCGTCCAGTGGAGGATTTGCAACTGCATCCTCTGCTGCTGGAATAGCAGGCTCCTCGTCGACGATTACAACAAGCATAACACCTGTGTTACCAATTCAAAATGTTCCTGTGTTGCCGGATGAAACTGGTGAGATGATTATTTTATATGAAAATAAAATGTAGATCATCATGAATGTAGATCAGGTGTTAATAACGTTTCGTGTAAAATAATAAGTAATAAATAATAAGTAATTCGAGGCGAGTCAATTATAGAGGAAATGTAAGATTTTTTTAATCGTAGAAATGATTTAATATCTCGAATTTGCTCTGGTAATTTGACTATTCGTTTTTATTTTTGTCCTAAATTATAAAGAAAAAGAAAAAAAGTTGAATAAAAAAAGTATTGGAGGAATAACAATAGATCTACAAATTTTCAATGGTAAAATCGTAGTATACAAATATGATAAATATATTGTTATAAAAGAAAATGCAAAATTAAATTTCTTTCTAAATTATTCGTACTTAAATAAATTCTATAAAAGAATCGCGAATTCCGAATTGAACATATTTATTTACTTACGATTGATGGATTCTAAGATAAATAATCCTTTTCCGTTGAATAATAAAAATAATAGCTCTGATCATTTATAAAATCGTTACTTAGCAGTTATTATCAATACCGTTAAAAGTAAATATCACTTTATTGTTTACAAATTGTAATTACATTAATTGTAATGTCAAATTACATTTAAATATGATATGAATGATTATTGATTATTGAAAGTATAAAGTCACGCAATTAGAAGACAATAGAGGATCATAATGTAATGATAAATTTGATTATAAAGATTAGAATTGATTAGAATTTCGAATAATAAATCAATCGAAAGATAGCGAGGACATTGATACGTTACGATTAAAATGGTTACCTCTTTGACAGGAGTCTATTGTACGCGTACTCCGAGTCGGTCGTGTCGGATCAATACGATGTACCGGGATAACTGTGTCCTTGACCGGTTGAATCTTCAACTGACATGTCGATAAAACAAAGTTGATACATTAAGTATACTTTACATCGATGGTCGCTAACCTCTCCTAGATGCTGATCAATTTTATTGATTATTAAATATATTAGTTGGAGATTTAATTAAAGAAGAATTATACATCATATGTTTCGTTTAATGTTACATTTATTATTTGCAATTATATACAATTAATGTTATTTGATCGATCTTTGCGAATGAAAGTATGACTATTATACTTGCAAAAGTATATGAAATAATGAAATGATATATTTAATCGTGTATATATATATATATATATATATATATATATATATATATATATACTATA